GACGTCACTGCTTCAATAACTTGAATCTGATTTCTTTTTTTTTCAGATTGTCCAACGCTATGACATCATTCTGATCCAGGAAGTCCGCGACAAAGATGGGACGGTGACACAAAGCCTCATGGATCTTGTTAACCAGTAAGACTTATAAAGAGCAGACACAGTATTCTTACACACAGACACGCAGACTGTGAGGGCTGCTTCATTCATCTAAATGTTATTTAATTGGAATATGGACTAATGCAATATCCAAATCTCAATAATCGCTTTATTTGGCAAGTATTGTGGAGCTGCAGAGAAGTCCGAACAGACTTCTACAGACTTACATATATAGAGTAATATATACACTTATATATATTATATGTAATATATATATTATTTACAGTATATATATTCCCTTCCGTATTGGAATTGCAATATCAATCAACATAATAGTTGTGTTTTCCAAATGAGGCAGCACTGACCTTTTGTAGAAGTTTGTAAAAAGGTTCAACAGATCATGAACTCACATTATGATTTAAGATACACAAAAGTTACCTCTGTGTGTGTGTGTGTGTGTGTGTGTGTGTGTGTGTGTGTGTGTGTGTGTGTGTGTGCGTGTGTGAGTGTGTATGTGTGTGCGTGTGTGTGCGTGCGTGTGTGTGTGTGCGTGTGTGTGTGTGTGTGTGTGTGTGTGTGTGTGTGTGTGTGTGTGTGTGGGTGTGTGTGTGTGTGTGTGTGTGTGTGTGTGTGTGTGTGTGTTTCCCCAGAGGTTCTCATCAGTTCAGCTACATCGTCAGTGAGCCCCTGCCCCTGGGTTCCAGCATCCTACAATTATTGATTCATAAGGAGAGATACCTCTTCCTCTACAGGTAAAACACAAAAGGGCAAAAACAAAACAGCAACAGTTAAATGATCTTTTGTATGGATTGCTTTGTTAATTCCCCAGATCAGCAGAAAGAGAAAAGATGTGTTTGATAGAGAGTGTAAACAGCATAGAAAATGCTCCAGGAGTTGTGTGAATATGTGACCATGAGAAAGAGTCCATGAACTCGATCCACTGGAGACGTCTTCAAAATTAAGAGTTCCATCTTTCCTCTGCAGGGGATCAGAAGGTGTCCGTGAAAGGCAGCTTCCAATACACTGGCACTGGCTTCAACAGACCGCCCTTCGTCGTCCAGTTTTCCTCCACAGAGACCGGTATTAGAGGAGAGACTCTGTTCTTTCACTCGAAATATAGATTATCTATTCTAGAGAACTAAGCACCAGACTTGTGTGAGAGGAGATCCTGAGGTCTGTCCGTCACCAACACCACTTTAAAACTATATCATTTGCTTTGGTGCTACTTTTGTATTAGTGGTTGAATGTGATGAAGTACACTTACTTTAGCGGTATTTCTTCTGTTGTCATTGTCTCTCTTCATTCACTCCTCTCTCTCTCCTGGTCTCCAGCTGTGAAGGAATTTGTTCTGATCCCCATTCACACCAAATCGGGGTCCGCTGTAAAAGAAATTGATGCCCTTGTTGACGTGGTGAAGAAGGCCAAACTCAAGTGGACGAACAATGTAATACCCCGTGCAAGACATACACTACAACTGCAGAAACACACACACACACACACACACACACACACACACACACACACACACACACACACACACACACACACACACACACACACACACACACACACACACACACACATATAATATTGACTTCTCCATCATGACTGACATAGAGCAGTTGTATCTGGTGTAAAATGAGTGGACGTCAGAGAACAACATTTAGATAGGGGGCGTTTACATTTGTGTTTTTTAGATTGTCCATTACCATGACATTATTCTGATCTAGTTCTAAAATAATTAGTTTGAGCCGTTTCCCTCTGCCTGCAGAACATCATGGTGCTCGGAGACTTCAACGCAGACGGCAAGCATGTCAAAGCAGGAGACTTGAACAAAATCCGCCTCTTAGACAACAACAAGTACTTCCACTGGCTGATCGCCAACGGCGTCGATACTACACTGGAAGAAAAGTCTTCCAACACTTACGACAGGTGAACACACACAGATAATCAGGAAGACACTTGCATGCACACACACAATCTTAATCCCGCCTCTCTTCCTGTTTCTGCAGGATTGTCGTCACCACTGAAATGGAGAAGGGAGTGGTGGCAGGCAGCGCTAAGGTCTTTAACTTCAGGGAGGAATATGATCTGAGGGATAAGGTACGTTCACATTGGACCACGTCACGATTACATGTAGAGTAAATTCATAAGACGCGGAAAGACTTAAATTCGTGGCGAAGTTTTTTTCATCTCGAGCTTCAAATTTGCGTGACGCTGTCTCACGACATCCTCCTCGCCAGCAAATCTTGTTTGAGAGATGAATTTCATTGAAACAACACACATTTAAATGGTCAGAAGTCAGTACATGTGAAGCATTAACTCGATGCATTGACGTGGATAGGCCGCCTAATTCTCAAGAGTACATTTTTATTTTATTTTAAAATGTCTAGACAGGTTATAAACGTAGAAACCACAGACAGTATCTGGCTATGGCAGACACCTCAAATCCCTCCATGTGAGCCATATTTAGAATCTCACTTATTTAACTAAAGTCATTCAGCCTAAGTGTACGTCACTAAAATAAAGCATGACTGCATATTATTTCAGGGAAGATCAGAATTTGATCAATGGATATATTTGACATTTGAAATTGCATCAGACCTTAATGATCATTCCATGTGAGCCATAGATAATCTAACTAACACAAAAGACACATTTCAAGACGTTTCCTTTGCTCTGACATCTAATGTCACGGTGGATGAGCGAGTCGTTATATTGAGCTGATAACAGATAAAGTTATTAGGCGTGCAGAGATGTGAGAGTTGACAGGAGTAGTCACTACAGTCAGGAACAAGATTACTTGATTACTCGATTAAGTAATGCTTGATACTTTTTTTTTTTTTTTGGAACTGTTGAGTTGACGGTCTAAAAAAACATCTTGTGCAAAGAAACCACCTGTTAGAAGTTTAACTGAGACTTTGTTCTGTATGCCAAGTTGGAAGAACAACACATTGAAATTGAGTTCCTATAAAAAAAAAGTTCCTGTTTCTCTCAGGCAAAGAAGGTCAGTGACCATTTCCCTGTGGAGGTGAGGCTGAAGCTGCAGGTGGAGCCAGAGGCGGAGGCGCCAGAGGCGGAGGCGCCGGACACGGTGGACACGGCGGACACGGCGGACACGGAACCGGAGTCATAAAAAACCGGACAAAAACGGATTCAGATGAGCCGCCAGAAACCCCCCCAAAAAAAGCAAACCTTGAGTCTGAATCCGAATTAGGATTATTCAGTTGGAGTATTTCTGGAACCCATGCAGCATTGAATAAGAATAAAAAAAATAACTACCAAATGATTTCATTGCAAACTCGTCTTTTTGAAACAGGAGAGTGAAGTGTCTTATTGTAGTGTTTATAAAAGGTGAGATAAATGAAATATGATGATTGTGAGCATTAACCAAGCAGCCTGTCCTCCTACAAAAAACGACCATATAGAGTTGGCCGATTGTTCAAGCCCTTATTACAACCCAGAGACACGTTTTAAAGTGTATGTTGTTTCTTACACGACCACTAGAGGTGCTCTAGTGGTCGTGTAAGAAACAACATGCTTCCTGCCCATTCATTGCAAACGCTCAGGAGGGACGTTTATTCAAAAATAAATACGAGCCAGAGACACGTTTTAAAGTGTAGCACCTCTAGTGGTCGTGTAAGAAACAACATGCTCCCGTTGATTGCAAACGCTAGTAGTTTGATAGATATTTATGAAGATGATCTGAGGTCTCGTCAGGATAACGTGTGTGCAGCTTCCATGTAAAGTTAGCGTGGGTGAAA